ACGCAAGAAGCCCATTTCGGGAAGCTTCAAATGAAGCTTCTCGTGTCTTTTGCATTTTAATCTTGCATGGAAAGACACGTGTCTATCATACGTGCTTTGGGCTACTCAGATCTTCATGCAAAAGCTCAATGCGTCTTTTGCATGTCAGAGCTACTAGAATATCTTCCCAAAAAGACATGCCAAACAGGCCCGTACTAAACTACATTGGTACAATGAAAAGCAAATCAAACCGTAGACTATCGAGCCAATGAAGGGTAAAAAACCAGTAGGTGGATATGGAATCAAATCATTTTTTTAATGACTTTTAATGGCCTTTTCTCTATCATGTAAGCCTAGGCCATGTTCTTTTGCATTGTAGGGGTGAGAGGGAATTGGTCTAACTATAAGACTCATGGAAAGTGCATTTTCTCATGAGTAAATTTTTGGGCCACTTCCCCAATAAAGTGCCACCCTTTTCATAGGTGAGTAAATCATTTTCCTATGAAGGGGTAAAGCTACCCGAACTATTGTGTAACTAAAATGCCTCTTCAAGTATTGAAACCCAAGGGTAAAAGTGGTAATAAAGGAGAAAGTAATTGGTGCAAAATAACATAGGTAAATTCATAAACTTCCCCAGATGAATGCATTTATTCAGATAAATATGTTCTTGGCAAAAGAATGGGGCTTAGTATCACTACAAGTTTACAACTATCTTTGCACAAATTCTTATGACTGTGTTGGATCTGCTACAAACACAAATGTGAGAACTAAGAACCTAGTTAAGTGGCTAATCACAAATTCTTATCCTAATGTCTGTTTGGACAAATTTAATCAAAAGAAAATAAAAAATATTATTATTACCTATTGTAAAATATAGGTAACCTCTTTACTTGGTCAATTTTGTTTTCTATAAGATACTCTATTGAAGCCAAAGAACATAGACATCATAATTCTCTATTTTTCTTCTTCTTTCTTTTGAAACCAAACATTGTTTCTTTCTAAAGCTTGATATGAAATGTTAGGGGTACTTTTAGGCCCCGTTCGCTTTTCGGTAAGTTACTTACCCAGGTAAATGTATTTACCATAAGGCAAGGACCATTTTAGCAAGAAAAGTCCATTATTAAAAGGGACACTTTGTACCATTCAAGTGTTGGCAATTTTTCCCTTAGGTGGGAAAGTTATTTATCCACCTAGGAGATGGGTATCACTTACCATGATACCCAGGAAAATAAACTTTCCCTGGTCTCCACATAAATCTGAAAAAAGAGCATGGGATTCTTGGTCAATGGGATTTTGATTCCCATTGACCAACTTTCCCCCTCTCAAAATCTAGAAAAAGAACGCCCCTTAGAATAAATAACTATGCATCTTAGCCCTGAAAATTTTACACTTGCTTTAAGTGGTCTATGACAATTTTCAGACAACAAAGTAAATCAGTTGAAAACTATAGAGGGTGTTTTAGTAAAAATAAAGGAATATGTTTTAGTAAATCTATGTGTGTTTTTATGAATGACCCTTTTTTAGGTATGTCTGATGCTGCTTTTGAAATAAAGAAAAGCTTATTTGGCCTCCATAGCCCATAGGAGAGGGGTGCTATATGCTACAACCAATTAGTAGCGAAAGTTTGGCTATTTGGAAAAGGCAGCCTGGGCTGCTTTAGAGCTTCGTGTGCATGACATATTAGCATGGACGTGGGATAAAATAGTAATTGTAATCAATATTGTTTTAGTTAAAATGATAAATAAAGAACTAACTGGGATAATGTGTCATGTGCAAGAGGTTTCATAACCACCCAAGTTATTTTTCTAAAGAACAAATATTTTCTCCCAAATAGTGGGGTTAGTGTGGTTGCAAAGATGGACAGCCCACCGACATTCTTTAGATAGAAAACCTGCCCTTATTTGGGTTCATTGTATATCTCATGGACTGACATTGGGGGTGGAATTGAACCAAGTTATAAATGAATAGTTCACACTCAAATTTGTTTAGGTTCAATTTGAATTTGATTCTAATCAAGAAATCTTAGGATAAGCTCGATTAGTTATTCAAACTTAAGTTTAACCTACAAAAAGTTCGACTTGAAAGCTCACGAACCTAGCTCGATTGATATTAATATTAGTATTAACTATATATATTATATAATATAAACATGTATTTTATAATATATATATATATAATAAAAAATAAAAAAAGGGCAACCTAATGGATAGGGTTCCCGTCAATGCTAGGGTTAGGGAGAGACAAATGTACATAGCTTTACCCTTGCACATATAGAGAGTAGGGTCGTTAATAAGTTAGGCCTGGGCTGAGATCAACTAGAATTGGAACCGACCCGACATGAAAATATTGAGGACCCAAAACCGAATTAGACCCGATAGTCTATAATTTTTAGACCTAGAACCAAATCGATCGATTCTCGGGATAGTCGTGTCTGACCTGACAGACCCGATTATAATAAATAAATAAATGCGTTTAATATATATTAAATACTAGATATATTATACATTATATATGTATAGTATATATAATTTATTTAATATATTATATATCTATTGTATGTATATAACTTGGGCCGAGTTTGAATTGGTTTTGGACTAGGTGGAATCGGTTCCGAATTGGATAATAATAATTGGGACACGATATCATCAGGACCCAGAACTGACCCGTCAATTCCAATTCCTGAAACCAGAACTAGCCCAATCGGTTCGGTCCATCAGGTCGAACTCGACCCGTTGATAGGTCCAATAGAGATGTTGTTTTCCAAGATTTGTACCCTTGTCACCTAGGTCACAGTGGAGCAACCCAACCATTGCACAACGCCCAACTGTTACATAACAAATATTTTTATGTAAAATATATTTTTATATTTTATATAATATAATAATTATTAAAATATAAAAATACATTCATTTTTCAAGACTTTTGAATTAAACTCGAACTAATCAAATGTTTAATCGAACTAAACTCAACCTAGAAAATGAGAAAATACTCAAATAGAGTTTCAATGGAACTCCAACTTAATAGTATTTTAGTTAAACCAAACACGGCATGCCAAAATTCAGCTCTACTTGGCTCGATTACACCTATACGGAGACCCTTATATCATCACCCTCTATTAGGAAAAACTTTAGCTGTTGGGGGCCAACAGCCTATGCTGTTGAGAATGCCATGTTATCATGAGAATGGGTAAATTAGTAATTACATATTAATTTATTTTTACTAAAAACTAAAACATGGGCGTAAATAGGTAAACTGCCAAGAACGTACCTAGCCCAAAAACTGTCTCAACAACCTATACTGTTGGCCCCAACAGCCAAAGTTAACCCCCCTCTATTATGGTCATAGAAATGGACAAATTTGTGCTTTCCTTTTCCAATAATTTACCATGACACTCCTATGATGCCTAAACGTTATGATATTTTAACCAATCAAAGCAACGGGTGAATTTTGATGAATACCGTACCACAAAGTTGGAGTTGTGTAACCAATAATACCACTCAACGTCAGCCATGGATACAAAGTGAGATATTGAGTGGTTGTGGGCCATACATCTTTCATAGTGTTTACACAACACCTAATACAACTATCAAGTTCGGGTTAACTTTGGCTGTTGGGGCCTAATAGCATAGGTTGTTAAGACAGTTTTCTGGACTGAGCACGGGGCACTTCACCTATTCATGCCCATGCTTTGGTTTTTAGTCAAAATAAATTAAGATGTAATTACTAATTTATCCATTCTCATGGTAACGTGGCATTTACATAAATTATCTCAACAGCATAGGCTATTAGCCCCCAATAGCTAAAGTTTTTCCATCAAGTTCATGAGGTTTTCCGGGTATGTGCCTTTGTTATCATAAAAGGGAAAATTCCCGATTAATACCCTATACTTTAAGCTTAATGCCACTTTGGTCCCCAAACTTTAAAATGTGACAATTCAGTACCCAAACTTTTAAAACGTAACAATCCAGTACCTATTGTTAACTAGCCGTTAACCATTCGTTAAATGACATTTGAAAAAGACACAAATGCCATTCAAGTGTTATTTAATTTTCTTTATCAACCATTTAAATGTTGACAAAAAATTAAAAGTCCCAAATCTTTGTCTTTTCCATTCAAGAAAGTTGGGATCACGTTTGAGTGGGCATTTTGGTGACCCCAACTTTCTTGAATAGAAGAGGCAAGGATTTGAGACTTAATTTTTTGTCAATATTTGGATGGTTGAAAAAGAAAATTAGATGACACTCGAAAGGCAATTGCGTTTTTTTCAAATGCCACTTAATGGCTGGTTAACAGTTAGTTAATAGCAGGTACTGGATTGTCATGCTTTGAAAGTTTGGGTACTAAATTGTCTCATTTTAAAGTTTGGGGACCAAAGTTCAGGTACTGGATTGTCATGTTTTGAAAGCTCGGGTACTGAATTGTCTCATTTTAAAGTTCGTAATACTAATCATTAATTTTCATCATTTTGAGTTTAGAGCATCTTCGAGTTCCAATTTCCAACAAAACACATTTCAACCTTCTACCAACATGATTTCATACCACACATCTCACACCACACATCTCATATTATGGTGAGTCTCACTCTTATGATGGATTTCAGTCTTGTTGTATTAGGTCAAGTTGGTAGGGGGTTGGAACATATTTTGTTGGTAGAAGATATCAATTCCCTACTTTTATGGTGGTTCTAATCTCGTAGTGAGATGTGTGGTGTTAGATTAGGTTAGTAGAGGGTTGGAACGTGTTTTGTTACTAGAAGATCCCAACTCATCTACGGGTACATTCTTTTAGTGAGACGGATAAGTGTAGAGAGAATGGATAGCTGAACTTGATAGCTGCCTTTATGCTGTGGGACCAATTATAATGCCCCACAACGGTGATTTCCTTCTGAATTTCCTGTATTTAATGTATCTTATTTTAAATATTTTCAATAATTATCTACTCGGTTGGATCTCGATTAGCGAGTTGTTTCAACTGGTCGAACCGAGTGAATCAACCCTGTTTTGCCGGTTTGATGGTCGTCCAGCAATAGCATTGTGCCCAATGCCAAATCTTTGAAACAGGTTCTTTATCACAAGGAAATCACTGGTCGACAGAGACCATCTCTCTCTCGTCAGAAATAGGAAAAAGGTTTCTTTTATTATTATCTTTCTTTCCCTTCTTCTGATCTTCTCAGATTGTTTGATAAGTTTATAGAAAAATTTAGAAGAATTTCGGAATCCCTGAACTTTGGTTTCTTGCGCTCAACAGTGTACATTTTTTTGCCCTATATCTATCCAATTCTTCTTTTTTATTGATCGTAGCTGGTTGAATTGGGCAGATTCAGAGATAGCTTCTGCTGATCGGTGCAAAGGAGTTTCGATATCCATGGATCATGCAGAGTTAACGACGGAACAGGTTGGAAATGGAATCCTGAATCGATTTAATTTCATGGAAATAATGGTGATTCTTGCTGTGTTTTTTGGAATTAGCTTTTGTTACAAATCTAGGAATTTCTTTTGCTTGTGCAGTGATTCCTGCTTCTGTAGATTAATTCAGAACTTAATTTTATCACTGTAAACGTCTTGTTTGTTTGGGGCTAATGGCAGTAATGGCAATTGAATTTGCAGTTTAGATATTTGGATTCGTGACTGCTTCAAAAGTTTTATCCTTTTCACTCTGCTCCCTAAATATGTAATTTAGGTGTCTGAATTGAGATTGGATCTGATTTTTGCGGCATCTTTTATTCCGTTTGACGAGTGTTTCAGATTCTCCCTCTCTCTCTCTCTCTATGTATATATATATATTACAAAAATGGATTGTGCTACAGTTTTAGACCAAATACTGATCTAGTGCCAATGTTGTCAATGCGACGAGGTGATGGAGAATTATTTTGGCCTCTCTAGCTGATCTGATGACTGGTGGATGCCTAGGTGCTGAGTAGCAGGCGAAAAAAATGCTCTCAATTGTAAACATTGATTCTATCTCATAAATAAGTTAATATGAAATACAAAAATGCAATTAAAGAATGGCATTGAACATTTAGTTTGGTCTTTGCTTTGCAAACGTAAAAATGAATTAAGATGGATAGGCTAGGATAGGAAGTTACTTACAGCCCTTTGTTTTTGAAGAAAAACGGTGCAACCCTGAGTATTTGATGTGCTCTTTGCAGCAGCGACTTTATACCAGCACACTGCTTATTAGCAAAAAAACTGGAAAAGAACTTCGCCTACACTATTTTCTTTTATTTTATGCAATAGACCACTGGCCGACCATGTTCCATCACAAATACTTAAACAACAGCATGCATATAACAAAATAAAAGCGTCACTATATTATTTAAAATGGTTCAAGATGAAAACAAACAGAAAAGCTTTAAAATAATTTTGTGATTGGCTAGGTTGACTAGGTGTTAATCAACTAGTCTATTTAATTCTGTTTTAGGATATATGATTTTCAATCTGTTAAACAGTTAGATCATATAGTATGTCAAAGTATCCCACCATTGGAACTGGAAATAATCTATTCAGAAGTGGTATTCTATAACTTTGAAGCTTCATAAATTGATTCATGAGTAAGGGTTGTCCCATCATTGCTTTGAATAAATCATGGTTTTGTCTTCACATTGTTGAAATCTAATCCTTGATATTGCTACTATATATCAACTGTTATGCTAGGTTTGAATAAGTTAGAATTGTCATCATGGCCTAAAATGTAGTGGTTAGGATATTATTCTTTGAGTTAAGATATATATATATATATATATTGCTTTGATTGACACCTTGTTTTATTCTTCAAGGTTCTCAAGCGGGACATCCCATGGGAGACTTACATGACAACAAAGCTGATTACAGGAACATGCCTTCAGTTGTTGAGGCGTTATGATAACAGGTCGGAAAGTTACCGCGCAGCACTACTTGATGATGTAAGTTTTATATTTCTCTTACTTTTGTAGAATAATTTTGGGCAGTTGGAGTATCTATTTGATCCTCTCTTGATCCATTAATGTGCTTTCATGGCCTGCCATCCATGTTAGTCACAAGTTTTTCCTTTTTCATATCCTTGTCAGAATAATCTTCTTTACTGTCTTCACCTTCCCACTCTGTTTGGTCATTCATGGCTCCAAAGTGCAAATGATCTTGATTTTTTCTTTTTCTTTCAGTGCTCGTACTTCCTATGTGGACAGATAAATATTTCAATAGGCAGAAGGGTTATAAGAGGTGTCAAGGTCAGTGTTTTAAAACCAGTCCCAGAGGTTGAGCTGTTTTCCTCTTTGGGTCAACAGGTTAGTGGTTCAACCATACAGGTCAATAGATCAACCATACAGGCCAATAGGTCACTATAAATTTTTTCATAAAAAATCCAACAACCTGTTGAACGAGTCAGATGGGTGAACGAATCAATCATCTGGGTTGACCAGTTATTGACTGAGCCAATGGGTTTTTGTAACATAGTGTGTCAAGATCAGTGTTCTGAAACCAGTCCCAGAGGTTGAACTATTTTCCTTTCTGGGTCAACAAGTTAGTGGTTCAACAATATGGGTCCATGGGTCAACCCGTGATGTCATCACTGTAAATAACCTGCTGAACAGGTCGTATAGGTCAACAGATCAACCATCTGGGTTGACTGGTCATTGACTGAGCTGATGGTTTTTTGTAACATAGCGAGTTAGAGGTTTACCTGGATAGTCTGACTGGCCGAGTCAATGATGGGTTGAAACTTGAAAACACTGGCCAAGATATCCTTGTAAATGATCCATTAGATTTTACATATGAGTCTTAAATGGTTATGCCTCATAACCCCTCATGCTAAGACATTAATTGGAAATGAGAAAAAAATTGGAGAAAATTTTAAAAAGTAATATAAGCTGAGGAATATCTATATCTCTCTCTCTCTCTCGCTCTCTCTCTCTATATATATATAAAATAGAATATGTAAATAATTCATCTGTTTAGAAGCAAATGGTGCTACCTTATCAACTCATAATGAAACATAACATCATCCAGAATTTCTAATTCAACCAAATGGTGGAAAAAGAAGCAAGGGGAAAGCTATTAAACATTGCAGTCTTGTTGACTTGGAACCTTTATGATGTAGTAGGACCGACTGCCAAATAGGTGCTCTGGGACCGGATTTGCTGGTTAGGTGTTTTGATAACAATTGATGTAGAGTATGCTCGACTTAAGATGGGTTTGTGGAGCTTGTTAATAGGTTTAGAATGATTTTGGATGAAATTAGAGTTAGAGTTAATCGGTTGGGTTGATTGGGTTAGGTAAGGATCTTTGGGATTAACTGCAATAGCTACAAATTTGTCCCTAAGACTGCATTTGGAAAGATTACAAGTACAAAAATGAACAGTACAATGCAAAGTTGTCCGGTTTAGTAGAATGCAAAATCTTCTTGGTTTTACATGCATGAAATGTTTCGATCTGATCCCTAGAGTTATGGGTTCCCCAAACCCACCCTGAAAAAGAAAGAATTCAAAGAGTATTTCATGAAAAAGAAAAAAGTAAGGAAGCCATCATAGAACTTATATATGTTAGGGTGGCTCATTGGGTCAAGCCTTTGAAGCTCTTTGAAGATTATTTAGCAGGAGACATCATTAGAAAGTGGGAAGAAGTGGCTTGGTCAGCTCTCATGTCCACTGCTCTTAGACCTGTTTGGACTCCACCAGATTCGGGTTTCATCAAATTGAACTTCGATGGTAGCAGTGAAGGAAATCCAGGCCATTCAGGTATAGGTGGTATCTTCAGGGATGAGGAAGGTTGAATCATTGCTATGTTCTCAGGACCTATAGGCTGGGGGGCCTCACTGAGAGCTGAAATCTTGGCAGCTCTAGAAGGATTTAAGAGAGCTAAGCAGCTGAATATTTGTAAGTTGTTGGTGGAAGGTGACTATCAGTTGACTATTAGATGGTTGCAGAAGGAAGTGTCCAACTTGTGGAAGTTCCTAATGAAAGAAAGAAAATTATTCAGTTAACTCAGAATATGATTGTAAGGGTTCAATGGGCCAAGAGGTGTGCGAACTCCATGGCTGATACCTTGGCTAAACAGGGGGTGGGAAGAACAAATCTCTTTTGGGCTATATTGTAACATGTGTTTTCAGTTTTGTTAGGGAGGGTCAAGACTTTTTACCCCTCCCTTCTGGTTGTAATTTCTATTTCTCTTCTAATAAAATTACTGTTATTGATAAAAAAAAACCCACCCTGAACCCCGATTAGTGGTCAAAAAACCTATCCCGACCAAGGTGGGGCAGGGTGGGGCCCCATGGGGATGGGACAAATTGCCATCTCTAGGGAGGTGCTGGTGTCACTATGGAAACCGAGGAAGGAGAAAAGTCGGAAGAAATAGGGGAGATAGTCGCTAATGGCAACGTTGGTGGTCAAGGAGAGAGCAATGTTGGTGACTTATTTTGTTTTGAGGAGGTTAAGGTTGGAAGATTGGGTGTTGATTTGGGTCAAAGGGGCAAGACTAAAGAGAAGGAGTTGGTTAATGGAGAGATTTGCAAGAAATCACGGCTCAAAGAATACTAGTGTAGTGCATGTAACGAAAATCTTCTCTAGGCTGAAGCTTGGTCTGGTGGGGGCAGGACCTACTAAAAATGACAAATGGGTCTACAGGAGAAGAGGCAGAGATGCATTTTGACTCCTGGAGCTGATTATAGGGGGGCGACAATGAAGGATTAACCTTCAGATTCCCTCCTGGGGAAGGAGATTCAAGACAATAAGGAGAGTGGTGTTGGCCCTGACACTAAAACGATTTTGAAGGTGCAAAGTAATGAGATTAAGGATAATGTCTTGGGTTGTGTGACTCTTCAGAAGCTAGTAGACAGGGAGGTCATCATCGGTAAAAGTTTGGGTTTTTTCTTTTGGGGCGGTGAGGAGTTTGCTAGGAGGGATTTTGAGGAGTTTGAGAGAAAAAAAAGGGAAGTGAAACTGAATAAAAAGGCGCTGGGGAGAGGAGGCAAGAATTAGAACGAGGATGCTTCAGATCATGAGTTTGTGGAGGAAGAATAAGCTCTGTGCCAGACACTTCATGGGTTTTTGCTCTTTGATCAAGTCTGTCCGTCAAGTCTTTGATTTGTAAGTGGTGTAGTTGTTTATTCCGTTTTGTTAATGGTCTTGATGCCTGTTTGTTGGGTCCACTGGTTGTGTCTCTCTTTTGGGTAATATCTTATCACCTTCCTGTTATCATTCTTTTTCCTTTTTTAATGAAACTTCGTTTTTATCCTAAAAAAAAAAAAAAAAAAACAAAAACCCAATGTTGGTTCTAGCTAGCTGAGGTCTTGGGAGCAGTGGACTGGATATGGACCTAACCTCTGGCATTTTTTGCACAGAGTGGTTGCTCTCAGACTTGAACCTACATTCTCACACTTGTCTTCCTAAGATTTTACCATTACACTAAGCAATGGCTCCTAATAGAGTTATGCATAATAGGACTTTATTTATGTTGGGAAGAGCATATGAAGAAATACACTTAAAGAAAATCTTGTCAGACTAGATCATCTAGCAAAACTCAAAATACATACTCAACTTCATTATCAAGACTCGTTATGCTTAGCTGTTCCACAGGTCAGGACCCTAGTACAATTCAGATATTGGCTCCTTTAGCTGGAAAAATTAGCAAGAGTTACTGCCCCTGGAATCTAGCTGAATAAGGTGTTCAATCTGGATGCAATGAAGATATAATCAAGGAAGTGGTTCTTTACCCCTTAACCACTAGAAAAACAACCCTTGGATCTCCTTCTATTTCCTACATCTCAACCCCAGATATATGGAAAATCTTKRRAMCTTGCAGAAGAGCGTAATTCAACTTCATTATCAAAATACATACTCAACTTCATTATCAAGACTCGTTATGCTTAGCTGTTCCACAGGTCAGGACCCTAGTACAATTCAGATATTGGCTCCTTTAGCTGGAAAAATTAGCAAGAGTTACTGCCCCTGGAATCTAGCTGAATAAGGTGTTCAATCTGGATGCAATGAAGATATAATCAAGGAAGTGGTTCTTTACCCCTTAACCACTAGAAAAACAACCCTTGGATCTCCTTCTATTTCCTACATCTCAACCCCAGATATATGGAAAATCTTGGAACTTGCAGAAGAGCGTAATTCAACTCAGTGGAGTTGGCAGTACCAAATGGAACTGTATAGAGAATCAATATCTCATCCATTTAGTTTCTAAGGCTCCTTCAGTGTTTGATGAACCTGGATTGCCAAGGCTACTGCCATCAAAATTTATCTTGATGTTATGCTGTCTAGGAGGTTCCTGTGCTGGATCAGTGGTAGGTCTTGTAAGAGCAGAAGCCACTTGATGCCAGTATGCCAGTGCGGACCCTTCAATATGATGGTTGTTTTAGAATGTTTTTTCCAGCACATTCTATTGAAATTTGACTTATCAGTTAGGGGAATAATGTAGTTTTCTTGAAGATTTTATAATATATCCAATTTCAGTGATTTGTGAAGTAAAACGAAAAGTTTTTTTTTTTTTTTTTTGTGTGCAGAGGTGTCCTTTTCCAGTCCATTCTGTACATTACTGACTGCATTGACACACTAACTTGGATAAATCCATGTGAACCAACTCTTTGGCCATCATGTCTGAATATGCTGGGTTTGGAAAATTGTAAACTTGGGATTTGGGAAATATTTTATCTCTATATGTGCCCCAAAACTGTCCACTGCTTTGTCAATTTAATTTTTCTCATTGAATCTAGATGGTGGTAGCCCAAAAATTATTGGTTGGGAAATTGACATTCCCAAGTTCCAACCACTTGATATTTGAATTAAGGATATCTTCTTAATCACATCTATATTTTTTTTTGATAAGTAACCATCCATTTTATTAAATATTTGAATTAAGATGCTCAACATTTATTTATGGAGTTTTTACTTGTATTCTATTGGGTAAATGACACAGAAGCCAAAGACATATATTTATGCAATTTTTACTTGTATTCTATTGGGTAAATGACACAGAAGTCAAAGACATTTACTGTCAGTACATTGCTTTTTTTTTTTCCTTTCTGCTAATATTACCTATAATTTGTAAGTTCACTTATTATTGTTTTTTGCTTTAGATTCATTAGTATTTTCTGCTTCCCTGGCTTTTGCTTGAGTATTGTCCTCTACTTAATTCATCTCAGCAAAGCCTTATCCTGACCATATGTGGGTGGGCTACTTGAATACTTTTTCACCAGTCCACTATATCAAAGGTCATATCTGTTGTTAGACTGTGAACCCTAAAATCATTTCTTACCACCTAATCTGCTTTTTTTGCCTTCCCCTAGCTCTTTGAGTCCTTTCACCTTGCATCAGATCATTTTTCTCACTGGTGCAATAGGTGGCCTATCATGCACATGCCTAAATGCTCTTACTCTATTTCATTTTGTCAAGTATCATGGTTGTTCATGGTCTTTTTTTTATTGATAATAAAGCATGTTGAGGAAGGCACTTCGGACTATAAGCCCCAGGCAAAACTCACATATTTATATTTATATATCTTCTTAGCGGCTATTTGGCTTTTGCTTGAGCTGTAAAGCTTGTGCTTGTATATTTCTTGTGATCCCTTTTTCTTTCAATATTTTTATTATTATCAAAAAGGGAAGAACATTTTGGTTATTTTTTGTGTTATTTACAAGTAGTGGCAATTGTGACAGGATGGTCCAGCTTATGTCCGTGTATTTGTGAACATTTTGCGTGATATTTTCAAGGAAGAAACAGTGGAATATGTTCTAGCTCTTATTGATGAAATGCTCACAGGTAGTTGGAACTTACATTGCTTGGAACTTTTTTTTTTAATTGGCCTTCTCAAACACTACTGAGAATTTCCATGTACTCATGTTGAGACTTATATTTGTAGTTGTAATTTGAGCGGGCTTGTTCCAGGCTGGGCTGGCTTGCGGTAACCCATGGGCCGACACATTCTCTGTTTCTTTGCTAAGTAAAAATGAAAGAAAAATTGAAAAAAAATGAAAAATTAACAAAAAAACTTAACAAGATAGATAACAAATTGAAAAAAATAAAAATTTTATTTCATGGATTGAAGATAAAATAGTATAATAAAATTGAAGATAAAAGTTTAATGGATTGGAAAAAATCACAAATAACTTCAATTGTGGTGGAAGGAGATTCAAGCTTGGTGATCTGTTGGATGAACAATCAGAAAGATCCCTGGAGACCGAATAGCTTCCTACATGAGATTAAAGAAATTGCCTCTCTCATCCATTGTGTGTTTAGATGAATTCCTCGCGAACTCAATAGTGTGGTGGATGGCTTTGCTAAATATAGGGTGGGAAGGGATGCTTTGTACAGTGATGTTACTATACCTATGTAAGTTCTGAGGGGTGTTTCTTGTGTGGTGCTATTTGTTTTTTGTTTGGTTGCTGTGTACATCCCCCCTCTTTTCCTTTTTACAATGAAAGTAATCTTTTCTCAAAAAAAAATTCAAATAAAATTAAAAATCAATATTTACAATAATATTAGAAATATTGTACAATTATTGAACATCGACTTCAATCTTCTCTTCAAGTTCCACCTCCATCTCCTTGATCTGCATCTTCCGGTGATCCATCAACTGAAGAAGTGTCATGTCCTCGATCTTGCAGCCTATCCTCTGCATCTAACCAATCATTGCGGCATATGCATATCTCTAGAGTTTCATCTGTCATGCAGCTTCTTTTCGTATCCAACAACCTGTCATAGTTTTCAAGGCGCCTAGGTGATGCCTAGGCGATAAAATCTGAAAAATAGGAAATCCATAAATCCCTACTCCTAGGGATGTGAGGGAAGGAGATAGAGATGCAATTGGGGAAGAGGGGGGGAGAAGTCAAGAAGCAGAGATGTTTGGGGTCATAGGGGCAGAGGAAACAAGAGAAGAGGAAGAGGTGAGGAGGATCCGAGGGAGGAAGGGGGATAATGGTTTAGTGGAGGGGAAGGAAGGAGAGAAAGGAGCAGGGAATGAGGGAGGGGGTAGCAAACAAGAATGGGGATGGAGTAAGAACGTATAAAAGGAAAAGATACAGAACTTTTCCCTTGGATGAAAACAGAGAGAGGGGATTGAAAGTGGACTCAGGGGAGGAAAGTGAGGCTGATCTGATGATAGATGAGACACATAAGGTGGAAGTCACATGTGACATTGAAAAATTTGTAAATAAGTTTGCAAAATTCTGGCTCTATTTTTCTTAGGAGGGGAGGAGTTTGTGAAGGAAGCGTTCAGGTCTGTGGAGGGAAGGAATGGGGAGAACAAAAATAAAAATGATATAGTGGTTGATTGCAATTCAAGTAATTTAATAAATCAAGGATTGTAAAAGTTTGATGGAGGCGGTGAGAATAACATCAAGGAAAAGGAAGGGGTTCTAGAGGGAGAGATTGTTCCGGGAAGGGGTCAGATTTCTGAGGGGAAGATGGAAGAAGTCGTTGGAACATTAAATATAATTAGAAGATTCAAAACTCAGAAGATTAAAGATGCCAACGGCAGAAAGTAAGGAAACACAAAAGTGCAGCCAAAAGACAACAGGGAGATTGCAATAAAAAAATTAACAAGTAGTTTTGTTGATTTGGAATCCATTGGGGGTTTGATTTTTCGCTATGGGTCTCAGGTGGGGAGGGGGGGTGGGGGTTGCTTGCTTTGGGTATTTTACGGGTTTTGGTTTGACTTGTTTGCTGTTCACATGTTGGTTCTTTTCATTTCATTCGGGCGATTGCTTATCACCTTTCCTTCTATCCTGTTTTTCTTGTTTTAATAAACCTATGCTTCTTTTATTATTTCATAATATATCATTCTATATTTTACAATGTTTGCACTATGTTTATAATTTTTACAATATTTATATACGATATTTCCGACATTTCCAACATGTTTCTTATATTTGGTCAACCGACAGTTTCATCAACACCAACAAACCTTGTTTCCAAGTTTGTGACCTTTAACAATTCGGGTTGAACTGGGACTTTGGTTTCAAGATGGGTCTAAGGGAGATGGAATGTGAAGTTCTCATACTTTTTATTGGCCAAATTAGATTCAGTCTTCTTGGACAAAAGTACAGAGGACACAAGGGTTTGGGCAATATCCTCTGATGGGATATTTACTTGTGCATTCTTCTTCAATAACTTAATACAACCTACCACTTTGGGTTTGAAAATCCCAGTGAAAGAAATTTGGAGCAAACCAATTCCACCTAAAATTCCGGTCCTTTGTTGGGTGGTCCTTCTTGGAAAGATAAACACTATGACTTGCTACATAAAATGAGGCCAAACGAATGCCTTTCTCCTCATATATGTTGTTTTTGCAAAGCTAGTGGTGAAAACATTTTCCATTTGTTTATTCACTGTCCTCTTGTTTTGTGTGCTTGGGAGTATTTTTGTTCTCTTTTCGGACATAGATGGATTCTTCCCCAGGAATTGGTGGGTCTTTTATATTCCGATTTTCTGAGACAACCAAAGATGAGAGGAAGAATAATCTGGAAAGCAGTGAGAGCAGCATTGATTTGGACTACATGGGAAGATAGGAATGGGAGGATTTTCAACAAAAAGTGTAGGTCTGAGTTGGAAATCATGGATACCATAAAGATAAAAGTTGCACACTGGGTGAAGGCCTTGGAAAGGACAAATTGATGATATTTTGAGATTATGGAAGGAAGTGGAACACTTGGCTCAAGAAAAGGACAGATTGATAATGGAGTGGAGACCACCAGCAACCATTGCTGTGAAACTTAACTTTAATGGAAGTTTTTGGGAACTGAAGGGCTGCTTTAGGGGGTGCCTTTGAGATTCAGAAGGTAAGGTGCTAGCACTATATTTGGGCCCTTTAGAGCAAGGAGACTTATTGACAGCAGAGATGTTGGCATTGTTTTGAGGACTGAAATTTGCAAGGAGTTCGGGTTTCACTATTCCAACTGCTGGAAGTGGAAGTGGACTCCCAAGTGGTTACTTTTTTGACAAAATTCCACAGTCAAAGTCCTTGGGTTTATAGACACAATATTTGGGAAATTGAATGCTTAACAAGGGAGTTAAATATCACCTTTAAGCGGGTGGAAGCAAGGTTCAAAATATCGATACGCCTGATATACCGATAGGGGCGTATCGGGTGAATTACACATTTTGGAGCCTTTTTTTTTAATTTTTTTCGCAACCGGTTCAGGGGGGCCGGTTTAGGTCTCCTCTACCCCCTGAACTGGTCAGACCTCCGATACACCCACTGTAGGGGCGTATTGGAGGGGTCCTGGAACGATACGTATCGGCCGATACGTGTTGATACTTTGAACCTTGGGTGGAAGAACAACAAATGGGAGGCATTCATCAAAAATAAAAAAAAACAACAAATGGGATGGCAGATGCTTTAGCTAAACAAGGGCCAAACAAGCAATAGATGTTATGTTTTGGGCTAAAATGTAATGTTTGTATTTTGGGATTGAGTATTATCTATACTTTGATGATATCCTATAATTAGTAAATTCTGCTTTTGCTGATAAAAAAATATTTACAACATCATCATTGTTGCTAGCATTATAAAAAATAATAGAAAAAAATTTATTTTAATACCATAAATATGTAGAGTATTTAAAATACTTCCTGCAGTTGCTGAGCTAGTATGTGGTCGTTTAAGTCTTGTAAAACTTAAATTTCTTTTTTGCAAAAACTATTAATCATCTATAAAATTCCTAATGACACAAATATAACTAATATTATACTTTGAATTCTAAATATCTGAAGTAAATAAAATTTTAGAATTAAGAGTTGAAAGAGTAGAAATTAAATTTTGTATATATGAACAAAATTTAGAACGCCCATTCTTGTCGTATTTGTAGAAACTTTTTTAAATGCAGGATTTATAGATTGTTGTAAATTTTTTTTAGGCCTAGGATCTTCAGATATATTTGGCTTATTGGCTAATTCTTATCTCATTTTTCGTGGGAGTATTGAAAATTACCGAAAAAGACCAAGTCTGTGTGCAATTTGTGTTTGATTTGAATTAGCATTTTCTTCAAATGTAATGAATGCCATGTGTCTACTTAAACGCCTGGTGCCACCACTGCTGTGGTAACTAAAATCACTTTTGCATTATTGATAAAAAAAAATCACTTTTGCATTTTTTGCAAATAACTCTCTTTCCCTTTCCTCAACCTCTTCTTTTGTGAACATTTTCCATACTTCACTAGTTCTAGATACACTTGGAGTACCATGATCAACAGTAGCAGTAGTGCCTATATTAATGATATCGTACTATGATTGGGCCTCATCAAAGCTATAGGGGAAGTGTGTTGAGAAGAAGAACCGGCCATTTTAATGAATATAAAATACTAAAATCCTAAAATTTAGAAAAAAATGAAAACATAACTACTTCTTCCTCGGTCTTCTAGTCTGATATCCCAACTTGATTTTATTTGATGAAGCTTCTAAGTCTCCCAAATTGCTAACTTGAGACACTTGAACATGCCTCCTTGTTGAAACTTGAAATAAAGTTGAACATTAGAGAGTAAGAGAGTTGTAGTGATGAAAATGAGGGAGGTTAAGGGTATTTTAGGAGTTAGGAATTATTGAATGGGTTTTTTTTTTTTTTGGGGGGGGGGTTCAGTCATTTTTGCCCCCCAAGTCTAAATACACAAATGCCCCCCTGCCTCCCAAACTAACTGTTTATAGTTATTGAGGAGCATTTAGGTCATTTACAGCCCCCCTAAAGCAGATATAGTCATTGGAAATGGGCCTCAATGGCTATATTTCACAGGCCATGCATGCTGCATTTGTGCCCGACCCACATTACAGCGATCTATTGAACAGCATTTAATTATTTGTGTGGTTTGGCTTTTAACTTTGGTTTATCCTCTCTATCTATTTAACTTGTGAGGTACAATAGCTATTTCTAGTGCTTTCCTTCTGCATTGCAGATTTACATAAACTAAATTGAGATGCTTCTTTGGACACACCACTTTTGATCTGACCGTGTACAATATATACAATTTTTGATCAGTATATAATAATATAGAATTTGAAAAAAAGTGGTGCTTTTGTCTTTCTAGAAATATAATTTTCTACTATTAACTAGTAGCCTTCCCTATTCATTGAAAATGCAGTTTGTGCAAATCACAACCCCTAAGCTATTTGGAAGCATATTTCATCCATATAGAAGTAATGTTTGTTTTATGTAGCTGAGAAAGTTTTGTTTATTTAAGCTTCTTCCTAGATTTCATCATTGATAAATTCTTCATTTCTTTTGGCAGCAAACCCGAAACGGGCAAGATTATTCCATGACAAATCTCTTGCAAATGAAGATACTTATGAACCTTTCTTAAGTTAAGTGTTTGCTCATAATACTTCTTTTCAATTTCTAATCTATTATTTCTGTTGAGTTTTCTTTTTTATTAAAATTTATGATATTCAATTTGATTCCATTTTTATGCTTTAACAGCCATAGTAAACTATCATGGCCTTTTATTCCTCTTGTTTGGATTAACACCTCATATGCCATGCTTTTCCATCAGTCACCATTTTTTAGTAAAAAATATATATTTTTTGATAAATAACAGAAAATTTATTCATGAAACAAGATGAAGTACACCATGAAATTGTGTTGTACATATCATTATGTTTCATGAGAGCATAGCCCTTGCTATCTCCCCACAAAATTTTAAATTTGAGCCCAAAAAATCTGATGTCTATTGATCCCTTGTTTAGCCAATCCATCAGCCAAGCTATTAGCTGATCTTTGTACCCATTGAACTGTAGGCTGTATGTTCTCGACCACCATTTGAAATGTCTGATTTCATTTTTGTAAATCCATATAGCATTACTTTCCTTCATCAGCCAACTAATTTCAACTTTTGAGTCTCCTTAAATAATGTAGTTTTTTAAAGTAAAAAAGAAAATCATATTTGTGCCTTTTAACAACTAGATCCATTTCCATGATGCTTTTGAATTGAGTCTTGGATGGCATTTTACCAGTGGTTAATAAGTATGAACTTATTTCTGTCTTCTCTCCTCTTTCTCACAGTATGGTAGCTTTACCATCCTTGTCATATTAGATTCACTGGCGGATGAGGCTTATAGGGCGTTGATTTGATTATGATGTGTTTTAGGCTAAAATTCTTGGAATATGCAGAAGTGTTTAGAGAGTGACAACTAGACAGCTTAATATCTTGAGATTGGGGTAGCTAAATACGGAGGGAATCTAAGATGGTTTGACACAAACAACTTTTGAGAGAGTAGCTATTATTATTTATGTTTTATGTATGCTGTTTACTTTCATTCAGATCTGGGGAATGTGTCTACAGTATTACTTAAATGGGGTTAGGAAACAAAACAGTTTCATAAACAGGGGTCTTATTGTAATTTGCTTTTCAGTTGTAAGAAATATGTACATAGTGACCTGGCCAACTGGGAGAGTTATGTTTTTCTCCTTAATTGCTAGGTCTGTTCCTGCAGGCTTTTCTCTCCTCTCTAGTTTGGCTCTCCTTTTATTTTATTCTTTCTTCTACCTGTTTCTGCATACCATATACAGAATATATATATGGTGTCAATGCCAGGTTACTAGACTGTGTGGATTCTTCTCTTCTGCTACTGCAATCTACTCTTTCTATTCTTTTTTCTTCATTTACCTAGAGAACTCTGAGACATAAACCAGACTGAATCATTTGTTTTTGATCAGCAAGAAAAAAATAAATTTATTGACAAGTGAGAGAGCAAATTACAGAATTACAATAGAGCACAAGTCTGACAATCAATGCCCAAAAAAATTACTATAAAGCCCAAAATAACTGCTGCCTATAGACCCCCTGCTTGGCTAATCAGTCAGCCATCCCATTTGCAGTCTTTCTAATCCAAGTAAAGGTGGCATTGAGCTCCTTTGCCAGGCTTTCATTCCCCTTGGGGTATGCCTATAAATCCAAGGAACACTACACCTGGTGCGGTAGTCTAGGAAACCAATTTTGAATCCCCTTCAACCTCCAAGATTTTGAGATTTGCTTGCTTAGCAAGTTTTAGACCTTGTAGCAGTGCTAACAGATTAGGTTTTAGTGAATTGTCTACCCCTAAAGGTCCTGAATACATTGTCATCACTTTGCTTGAGGGATCGCTAAACACACCACCAATACCTGCCAATCCGGGTTTCCTATAGAGCTCCCATTGAAGTTGAGTTTGATTTTATTGCTAGCTGGAGGCTTCTATTCCATTTTTTTTTATTGGAAACGGTAACTTCATTAATACAACTTAAGAATAACTTTCCGGAGTTAAGTACAGCTGTCAACCCCTAAACAGGTGTTGAGCCCCCAGTAATCTTTCTTACAAAACTGCCCAGAACATTCTCTCCCTCACAGTCCCTTGTTTAGCCAATGTGTCAGCTAAACCATTAGCTGGTCTCCTTGTCCATTTGAAGCATGCACTGATCTCCCATTTTGTGTTGAGGATTTCCCTTATGGGCTTCTACAAATCCAGGCTCCCAACTTACCAGATTGCAGCCACTCAGTCAACAATTTAGAGCCTCCCTCTATCTCAATTTGGTGTAACCCCAACTGTTTGGCATATCTTACACCTTGAAGCAAGGCCATCACCTCCGCTCTCAATGAGTCCCTCACTCCTATTGGTCCATCACCTTTCTTTCTTTCTCCTTAGAGGAGTGTGCCACTTCATTCCACACCCTTTATCAGTCATTGTAAATCTTTTGGAAGAGCTCAAGCATTTTTATCCAGTGTGCAACTTTTATCTTTATAGTTTCCACAGTTTCTTCCTTTTACCTGTGCTCCTAATTGAAAATCATTGCATCTTTCCTCCCAAACAGTCCACAGCACTGATGCCCTAACTGATTTTCGCCCTAACTGATTTTCACATAACTCTTCCTCTTTTCGTTGGCTGCCTTGGGAAGTTTGGGTTGAAGAGACTCGCTACATCTTGAGGAGTAATCCACCAGCAACCAAAGAGAGAGCAAATAAACTCCCAAACAAAGAGCACAACAGGACAATAGATCAATAAATGGGGTAGGGAATCTCGATTTGCAGAACAAAGACAGCACACATGAGGGGAGAGGCATTTAATTGGCCTCCTTTTTTGAAGCATGCCACAGGTATTCACCTTCCCGAGAAAAACCTCCCAACACAATGTAGATCAGACCTAATCATCTACTCTCCTAGAGCAACCATTGGTGGTACTATATATCACTTCAACTATTGTGATAGCAGCCAAGTGATGTATTACCCTCTATTGGTACAGACCGAGGGGGGTTATGAAGTTGCTTGTGAAAAGACAATGTAAGTAGTGGTGTCAATTGGCCGGGTTTTGGTCTAATCCGATCCGATCTGAACAATATCCACTTGCAATTGGTCCAGACATGATCCGATCTGAATCTAGCAAATTGAAAGTCCAATCTAATCTGATTTAAATGCAAATGGGTCGTGTTGGAGCAGATCAAATCTGAACGGGTCTAATTAAACTAAAAATTAAGAAAATCATAAAAAACTACAAAAATAACAGGAAAAACTAAAAATAAAATCATAGAAAACTATGGAAAAAAAACAACAGAAAAAAGTACAAAAAAATTACAAATAAAAAACAAAAGAGAGAGAGAGGGAGGGAGAAGTGCCCTTCTCAAGACTGGATTTCTTTCCTTCTCTCCCCCCTGAGCTAAACAACAAATCCATTGCTACATCAGATTTCAGCTTTTCCACCTCCGTCTTTGAGCTTCCTTCTCCCCCTTCTTTTTGGAATACATTTTAACATCCTTTAGTTCTTTCAGCTTCAAACCCATCTCACCTACTAAATCGACCAGAGGTGTCCCTCCCTTTTCCCTAAGCTCCTTGGTTACGCCCCTCTCTATCTGAAAGCCTCCTTGTTTTTCCGGTGTCTCTACAGCAGTCTCTCCTGCTTCTTCCTTTCTTACCAGATCTTCAAAAGAGTGACACACTAATTCCCATTTTTCTCTCCATAAATCCTCCAAACATCCTCCTCATCCCGTCCTACAGCTCTACCTTCCATCTCCCTTCTTACCTCCTCTTAGACGCCTGCAACCAAAGGTTGGGGCTGAAGTGCATCTGTTACAGGCACAGGAAGCTCATTAGTAGCCTTAAAATTAATGACAAGCGTACCTAAGAAGTTGGCACGATAGGATCTTTTCCCCAAGTAGTGGGAATTGCAACAGCCACTTGGGATGGGAAAGACTGATTCAGGTTCAAAGGAGGTTCCCTCATTGGGTTTCCTTTGTTCTGCAAAGGAGGGGAGCTGCACCCCAATGGCGAGACACCCTGATCTTGTGACACATCCGGGATAGATTTTGGTCCCATGGCACAGTGAGCATGACCATTGTTGGTCGGGATTTCTTATTCCCTCTCAAACTGCAGGGAAGCTTCAGAGACCTCTAGACCAGTAATAATTGGGCTCACTTTCTCCTCATCCTCCAAGAACAGATTCTCTGTATCAAAGCTTTCATTTTCTTGAAAACCAGTACACTTTCCCCAGACAGACACTGCCTAATCTTGATGTTTCCATTTCATCTGAATCGGACCTCCCCACTCACCGAGAAACCACCTCCCAAGTTGTCTAACTCCCTTTCTTGATGGAATTTCTTGCTTCTAGGGTTGCGATGGTCAGGGGGCAGACCTCTAGTAGCAGCTGAAGGCACTCAACGAAGAGAGTTTACCGGTCCTTGGTTCCTGGATTGGGGAACCTGTTGACCTGGGGAAGATGATAGACCTTTTGTACTGTCTATCATCGGCCCCTTCAAGTCATGCATGCGACCACTTAAAACCGCACATCCCCCTCCTCTTATTAAACATGGGCCTGGCCCAATAATACTGTTTTTACTGGTTTCTTTCAGCTCTTCTCCAGAATGAGTTGGAGTTGGTGGACTTATCCCACTTAAATTCTTTTTACCCAGATCATTAGGGCCCGCCCCTTTGCGTCCACCTTTTTTGCACTGGCACCTAGCCAAGATCCTATTAGCTGCACTTCTCGCTGAGGACTACCTGGGCCAACTCTTTGCTGGTGCCGATGTGGCCCAAGTTCACACTAACAGTAGCCACTACCATGTCTTTGCTGATGAGATTGACCAACAAAGCTCTGATTTGGTCCAATCCTTCCCTTAAGACTATTTTCCTTCATTTCTAATTAAACATTCCTGCCAGCTGTCTGCCCAGAGCTGCCGCCTGTCAGGGCCTGTACATAAGATCCGCCACCCATCTCTAGTTCCTTTGATAATGGTCTTTCAGTCTCAGCAATTGGTACTGTTTTTCCTGTAGCTACAGTAGTTCGAACCAGAAGAAGAAGAAGAAGAAGAAGAAGAAGAAGAAAAAGAAGAAGAGGAGAACAGTCGAACATGATAGCTTAAACCCTATCAGTCGACCCTAATATGGGTTAGCCTCTAATTAGTAGTACAAAGACTAAACTGCCCCCACTTAAGTATGGGACAGGAAGYCWCTATTAARACTGCCACATAAGCACATAACTTAACAGAAATAAAATGACTAATCTACCCTTATTCGGCTAGCTCTAACAGGTACCTTCATCTTTAAGACCTCCTCCGCAAGGCTTTCCAGACTTGTGATATTTTCAAACAATTTTGAATTGTCCACTCCCTGAAGACCATGTAACCAATTTCCTCAACCTTCTCATCTTCTACCTTTCTTCCTTCACGCCACAAGGAGGCTTCAATGGCAGTCACCAACCAAACAGAGTAGAAAGATCCATGCGACCACACTTTCACCAACCTCGGAATATTTTCAGGGCAAACATTGCTCAAACTAACAGCTGCTGAAAGCAAGTCTTTCACAAAAACGCCATCCAATTGTGCCTTGCACAGTGAGGCAATGGAGCAGAAAACTTCTGTCCTCCACAAATGAAAGGGAAAACCCATCAACCGGACTAGAACTCTGTCTTCTACACTGAAACTCTTAGAGTTGGACTGAGGAGCCCATCTGGAAACAGTGATTGTACCTGTAGCCAACTTCAAACAGATGGTGTCTATCCCAACCTCCAACCCTACCAGCTCCAGAAGCGCCTTACAGTCCTCAAAGGGAGTTAAAATAATGGTGCATTTCAACTTGAGTTCTTTTATTAAATCCTCGGCAACAAGTCTCCAATCTTCTGGTGGTTCATTAGCAGTCATCACTAATTTCTTCTGCCATTTTTTCTTTGAGGTATAAGTGATTATTGTACCATCATTGCAGCCTGACCCACAGGCATCAATCCATCAGCCTTATCAGAATGCCTCTGCTCCACTTATGCAAAATCTTTACCTCTCTCCAGCTTTTTATCTGCATCTCTCCAAGTTCCTTGTGCTCCTTTGACCTAGGTTAAGAAATCCTTCAGAGTGCTTAAGATTTCTCTCCAACCAGCTGCAGACTTTCCTTCCGGGAAGCAAGTCATTTGTTTTTTCCCGTCTCCAAAGTATTCCACGAGCGCCAAAAATCTGCCCTTAGCATTCTCTTTTCTCTCAGTTACATACTTCCTGTTACCTTCCTCTTGAGACCCTTCACACACATGTTTCCTGTTCATCTGAGTTGATTTTTCAACGAAGAGTATGAGCCAATTAGTTACCTCTTCCCCAACCAGGATCACCATCGCTCTTTTCATCTCCCTAATCTTCAGTGCTGGATTCTTATTTACCTTGTTGAAACTCTGGAACAGGAACTGCTTGGCTTCGATCTTCACCAATCTTCTCCAAGTTTCTGTCTGCACGAACTTTCCTTCCTCCATTTTCCTTTTCCTCTTCACTCCCAGGAGATGTAAAACAATGACCAATTCTAAATCATAGATTTTCACTCCTTGTCTTAACCTTTCTGGCATTCCTTTTTATGTGTGCAAAAGCAATATTGTAAACCAAATATTATGTATTATTCCTTTATTGCATATTTAAGTTTCTTTTGACTTCTTCAGTTCTTCTGCTATTGCATCAATATCTTCATTTTAGAACATTGTTTTTTCTTGTGGCTTACTAGTCATCTTCTCACTGGATTTAATACCAAAAAAATCATCCTCAGTGCATTGGTAACACTGCTCATCACATTGGAATTTTACCATATGTGCACCACTTATGGCCTAGACAATTTACCCTACCTTGTAGATGAAACTATTTCCCTGTTTTTAAGATTATTTTTTGATGCCAAAAGTATTTAATGGATATCTTTAAAACAGCTCTTTAATTCTGCCCTTTTTTATGGTATCGTTGGGAAGGTAGTCAAGTTAATGAGTTCTCTGTCTGAGATACAGAGTTTCTTGACTTACTTATAGGTATCATTTTCCTGTTCTCTTCCCCTTTTTCTTATGTATCCTTTTCTTGCACCTGTAAGGAATGACTTGCTTTGAGTATAGGACTCTAAAAGAGCGAGGGGAAGATTCCTGTAGTCAACCTAAAAAAAGTTGGGGTTAAGACTCAGCTGAGTCTCGTCCTCAATTATGGGTTTCCAATTTATTGTCTAAGTATTTTTGAATTGTAAATATCAGTGGTGATGCTTGTTAATTATTATACTATTTTATTTAAATGGCAATTTACAACAAAGCTAAAAGAACCAACACTTTCTTCATTTTCAGATTGCTTTGGAAAGGTAATTGGTTCATACAAGAGAAGAGCTGTAAGATATTGTCTTTAATAGTAAGGTACCTGAAAGTTGGAACTTTTCATCCTTGAACATGTTGAAGTTTTGACACCTTGGTTAAGTATGCCTTATTCTGTCTAATTGCAGTGTTAGACCAAAAACCCATGATGGTATTATTGCAAACGGAGATGCCTCTCATTCAAATAAAAAGTCTACTACTATTGATGATGTGTTGAAAGGATTGGTCGAATGGCTCTGTGCTCAAGTTAGTAAATGGCTTTATGTTTGTTTCCATTAGATGTTCTAATTGTTTTTCTCCATTAGTCATGCAATATTCCAAGTATTAAAATGTCCTTTTGTAGACTATTGCAATGACAGGTTCATGTACCTTCAATTTTTAATGTAAGTTAGGGTTGTTAGCTCTATTATTTCCCTTAATCGACTGTACTGGTGCTACCATATTCCTTTAGTCTATCTGAAGTGGTTAATTGATGCAGGAACCAACATGTCAAATCTGAGATTTCTGATTTTTATGTATTTTTGGAAAACGAGGTTACAAAATAAGTTATGCTTACAAGTCAAAATCATGTTAGTAGGGTCATAGTCCTAAGTAAGGTTTATCCTATTCTTTTTAGTCCTTTGTCAACTAGAATCCTTATTTGAGTCTGAAGTCAAGTTCAGTCTAACTAGTCTTTCTCTTATTCCCAGTTGGTGTGTGTAGTAGTGTATAACTTATCAGATTTATTAAAATTAAATCAAAGAATGAGAAAGATGTGTGGAGTAAAATTTGGCAAGCATCCCTTTACAATTTAGGCTAGCTCCTGCTACCTAACTCACATATTGCATTTATTTGCTTTGCGTATATCATTTACAACTCAGAGACCTGATGGACAACCTCCCACTATAACTGATATCTGTACATTTCCCTTGTCTGTTTTTCTCTAGACGGATTTGTTGTTAGCTTTCCTGGTTGTATTAGGAGTTAGTTTTCTTAATTACAAAGCGAGCTAACAAGACAAAAGCATGTTAGTACATAGCCCTAAATATGATTTGACCTATTTTTCATTAGAGGTGTCAATTGGACTGGTTTTGGTCCAACCCGATCCAGTCCAATGTGAGTCCACTTACAAATGGACTGAACCCAATCTAGTCCAAATCTAATACAAACCAAATTCAATCCAATCCATTAAAATGTAAATGGACTGGATTGGATCCAATCCAAACCGAATGAAATATCAAAATTTATATAAGAAAACAGAACATATAAAAAATTACAAAAATATATTAAAATGAAGAAATCTGAAAATTACAGAAATATACCCTTTTGGCATTGAAAAAGTCATAAAAGTACTTTGATAAAAGTACTTCCATAGAAGTGCTTTTATAAAAGCATTTTTTTAAGTGTTTTTGTAAAAGTACTTTTCTAGAAGTGCTTTTGTAAAAATGCTTTCGTGAAAGTACTTTTATAAAAGTACTTTCATAAAAGTGCTTTCGTAAAAGTGCTTTTTTAAAAGTACATCCATAAAAGTTCTTTCATAAAAGTACTTCCGTAAAAGTACTTTTGTAAGTGCTTTTATAAAAGTACATTCATAAAAGTACTTTCGTAAAATTACTTTTGTAAGTGCTTTTATAAAAGTACATTCATAAAAGTACTTTTAGAAAAGTACTTCTGTAAAAGTTCTTTTGTAAAAGTGCTTTTATTAAAGTGCTTTCGTAAAAGTGCTTTTATAAAACTGCTTCTATGAAAGGGCTTTCATAAAAACACTTTTGTGAAAGTGCTTTTGTAAAAGTCTTTCTAAAAGTACTTTTCATAAAATTGCTTTTGTAAGAACTTGCATAAAAGTGATTTTATGCTGGCTTCAGTTCTGATTGGTTTCAAATTGGACAAGGGTTTGGCCTCGTGATCGGAATATTGAAATTTGGTTTAGGTCCAATTCAGACTAATAAGAATATGGACCAATTTATTTTGGATTGGCCCAATCCAATAATTCTAGCGGACCGTCCAAATCCAATTTGATAAGGTTTGGATCAGATTGGATTCAATTCAAAACCGGTCGATTGACACCCCTATTTTTCATAGGCCTTTGTCAACTAGGATTAGTCTGAAGTCAAATTTAGTCTTAAGTTAACTAGTTTTTGCCTTTTTCCCACTTGGTGTGTAGTAATTTCTAACTCATCAGATTTATTAAAATTTAATAAAAGATTGGGAAAGTTGTATGGAGTAAAATTTGCCAAGCATCCCTTTAATTTAGGCTAGTCCCTGCTAACTAACCCACATAGTACAAGTATTTGATTACATATATCATTTACAACTGAGAAAACCGATGGACAACCTCCCAATATAACTGATATCTGTACATTTCCCTTGTCTTCGTAATGCATCAGGAAGACCATTAAGAGATCATTGGGTCCAAGTGTAGGAAGATTGTGGTGTCCTAGCCAAATTTCTCACTTAACACAAAAATGTGTCTATGCTGTGAAGATCCTGTACTTTTGTTTTTGAGCCAGTCTATTGTGACTCAGCAGTTTCTAGTTCCCCTTCACTTCAATATCTTTGTAATTAAGATATCTTCCCAGTAAGACAGTGTTGCTAGTGATTTAAGAGGCACACCTAGGTGCACAGGCAAGGCATATGTTAGGGTATGTGCCTCACCTAGGTTCCAGGCACAGGTGCACGGCACTTTCAAAAGGTGCACGCCTGGTGTGCCTTGTGCTTCGAAAACCTATGTTTGCTAATGTTGCTCATTCATTCATCCTAATAAAAGATATTTTTAAAAGACACTGAAGGTTATAAAAAACTTTTTTATAGGATTAAGTAATTAAGATCTTGATATGAACATTTTTGGGCTTGCCTTGACGGGCTTGGTACTAAGGATGCTCGTAGAATCAGGAATGCATAATGTTTAACATCACATTAGCTATTTGAAGTAATGAAACTGGGAAAAAAATAAAGAGATTAAGAGTTTACATGCTTGAATATGTTTTATATGTTATGCTTGATTTTATTTTAAATTTTCATTTTGAATATGTTTTACATGTTATGTTTATGGATTTTAATTTGAGATAATAGGTTTTTGTAAAACATTTATTTTAAAATTTAAGTTTAAATTTTCAATTAACATTTTGCACTTTTTTTGGCCATTTTTGGTTTTTTGGCATTTGTTTTTTAAATTTTTACCTTTTTTTGCATTTTTTTCACCTTGCTTAAAAAAGGTTCATGCCTCAACTTGTGCCTCGGGCTTTGGGCACAAAATGGCCCTTGCACTTTTTTGCGCCTTGTGCTTTTAAAACACCGAGTGTTGCAAGTATCAGATGAAAATCAGGGAGGTCTTTGGAGAAGAGTGGTGGAGGCAAAGTATGGCTCTAGTAGTTCAATGTGGGAGCTGGCCATTTCAAATCAAAATTATGGGTGCTTAGTGTGGAAGGAGGTTGAGAAAATGTGACACCTTTTCTCAAAAGGGCTAAAGTTCAAAATTGGAGATGACCTTAAGAGTAAAATTCTGGGAAGATGTGTGGTGCAGAGACAGACCTTTGGAGGAAGTTTATAATTCCCTTTATGAGGTAGCATCAAACAAAGAAGCAAGCGTGGTTGAGAGAAGGTGCAGAATGGAGAAGTGGTCTGGGTCCCTCAGTTCAGGAGGCATTTGAATGTCTGGGAGGTAGAGACAATGGTTGATTTGCTGCAGAGGCTGTGTAGCATCCAAGTAGAGGTTAGAAGGCTTTGGATTTGGGACAAATCTGGAATCTTTTCAATTAAATCCTTCTACAATTATTTATCCAGGTCGGATGGTCAGTAATTCCAATCAAGATTGTTTAGTGCAAAAATGTGCCCACAAAGGTGTCTTTCCTTGTGTAAACTACCTATTTGAATAGAATCCTAACCAAGAACAATTTGGTGAGGAAGGGCATGCAGTTGAACTCCACTAACAGTGCGCTTTGTGAGGAGCATGAGGAATCTGTGAGTCACTTGATGCTTCATTGTAAGTTTTCTTTTGAAGTGTGGTCCAAAGTTTGGAACTTTTTTGAGGTGAAAGGTTGCTACCCAGAATCAGTAGCAGATTTTGTGAATGGCTGGTATTTAAGGGGACTATCCAAGAAAGGAAAGCTTGCCTGGAACCTGAACCCTGCAGCAGTATTTTGGTGCCTGGAGAGAAACGTGAGAATCTTCAAGCTTAAATGTAGTTCTTCAGATTCAGTTTTTCAGAAAATTGTGGGAAAATTTTGTTATTGGCTTTCTGTAAACAAAGTGTTTAGGGATAGAAATTACAATTGTCTTTTTGCCGTTGAAAATCTTTTTTGTAAATCAGGGCCAGAGGGTAGAGGGCTGCATAGGCAGTTTTTTGTAAATCCATGTATTAGCTTCTTGTTGTACGTGTTTTCTTTCTATAATGAATTTTACTTTACCTATTCTCAAAAAAAAAAAAAAAAAAAGAAAAGAAAAGAGAAAAAAATCAGAAGCAAATCATGTCTGGAAGTCCGAGTTGGTAAATTGTCAAATTGATTCGTAGACACATCTATTAAAAAGTATAGATGGCAATACACAGTCCTCTTATATTGATAACAAAGATAACCCCTATAAAAACCTAAGACCTCTTTATCATTTCTCCGACATACACTCATCCTGCATACCTTTCAATTCGTTTTTTTTTGATAGGTAACGAAATTTATTAATAATAAAAAAAGAATAAAGTATGTATAAGGCTTAGAATCCCAAAATAGGCTAGACTAGCCACCTATGCCATAGTTACAGTACTACAACCACCAAATATTTGTTATATACCCCTTGTTTAGCCAAAGCATTAGCCCTTGCATTTACTGATCTTTGCACCCATTGAAAGGTTACAACTTCTTACCTAGCCAGCCAATTTATCTCCTTGTTGACTACTTGTTTATGCCGCCACATTGCCTTGTTGTTCCTAAGCTAACTGATTACAACTTTGAAATCTCCTTCCACTACAATTTTTTTCAAATTCAGTTGTTTTTCCACCCTCAGTCCTTGTTCTACAGTTAACACCTAAGCTCTTATTGAATTCCTGCATCCAATAGGTCCTGAAGATAGTGCTATTATTGTGCCACTGGCATATCTAAAGACTCCTCCCTCCCCAGATGGGCCTGGATTGCTGATGCTGCTTCCATCAAAGATTAGTTTAATGAGTTTCTTGTGAGGTGGTTCCCATTATCTTCGAAGCACCGCCCCTTCAGTTGATGAGTTGGCTACCACTCTAAGGATATCATCCATGGAAAACGGGCCAAAGATATCCAAATTTTTCAGCAAGTTACCACTTCAATTTTGATGCAATCAAATAAATCTTCCTTAGAAGTTAGAACGGCACTTGCCATTGAAGATCATTTCAATCCTCTCCTCCCAAATTGTCCAAATAACAGCTACCTTTGTGCATCTCCACATGATTTTACCTCTTTTTCTTTGCTGGGGAAATGTTGTTGGACCAAACAATTCTGCTACATCAGCTAGAGGGATCCACCTGCATCCAAAAAGCAAGAAAACCACTCTGAAATAAATGAAACAAATGAACAGGAGATTAGTAGATGGAAAGAAGACTCTCCACTAGCCAAAGACATAATATAAACATGTGGAGAAAGACACCATCTGGATCTCTTCTTTTGAGGTTTATCACATTATTTAAACCTAACACCTTCACAACCTTTACACCTTCTAATCTCTTTAAGGATTTTCAATCTCTCCTTTTCTAATTCCTTAAACAATTTTCTAGCTTTCTTCTCTCTACGTATGAAAGACACCATAACAATCCCTTTAAGGATTAATGGGGCCAGAATGCTAAATTCGCACCATAATAATTCCTGAAGACACCTCTAATGTCAGTGTCCCTTGGGTTGCCCGAACTACATCCATCGAAGTTTAATTTTATAAAGTCAATGCAGGGGGAACCAAATGATCTATATGATACTCCTAAATGTGGAAAAATACCACATATTGCAACCCCCTTATGATATCATCTGAAGTGTTTTCAATTAGCAATTCTACGGTATTGGTTTCTTCCTTGGATTTTTTTTTTTGGCATCTCTCCTCGTAGACTTTATCAATTCATAGCTGTTCTTGTTAATCTCCACATAATATTCCCTTTCTTGTTAGTTAGAGAAACTAAAAAGTCCTTGAAAAGGCTTTGTATGTCATTTATCAAAAGGAAAAGGCTCCCTGGAGATGTCCATCTACTTCCAAATAAAAAAAGAAAAATAAGAACTCCCAAATATTAGAAATAAACATTGCAAAAGATCAATAAATATGCAGTTTCATTACTTGCCTTGCATAAAAAGCATATGTGAGGTGATAGACACTAATTAAGTCTCCCTTCGGAAGGACTTCATAGGTATTGATTCTTGGTTGCTCTAACTTCCGTGTCATATCTCTTAATCGTAGAGAAAGCTGAGTCGAATTGAATCGTGAATTGTATCGTAAATCGTAAGATTATTTCTATTTTTTTACAAACTTGTCAAAAAATTAAATATAGATATATTAAAAGGCTAAATATATATACCCTATTCTTAATTTATATGTACCATATATATACCTAAAACAATAGAATTTACCACTTAATCACTTATGCAATAGAAGCCTAAGATGATATAATCAAGTTTGACTTGAAAGTCAAATAAATCCACATACAATGGCTCTTTAACCTACATGTGATGAAAAATAAACTAAGTTTCTAGTCTTAAATAATGTAGATAAATCAATTTCTAGTAAGGGCATTAAAAAAGTCTCCCTTGGCAAAACTAAATATAAACAATAAAATAAAAAAAAGCCTCTTGTACAGAACCTATACTGTTTGATACTTAATACAACACTTTACTTTACCTTTTCAAAAAAAAAAAAAAGAAATAAAATAACAAAGTAGAAAACTAATTCTTAATGAATTTATTTGAATTGTAGAAATCGTAAAAAGCGTAAGATTTATGAATCAAATTGTAGGATTCAAACAAAAATCATAACTATATATGAGCATTACTCCTAGTTGTCTAATTATACTTCATATCATTCGTATAGTTTTTAATGCACAACCATTTTCCTGACTTGTACCATGGTTGGAAATTGTTTTGAATGATTTTTTTTCTTTATTGAACTTCTCAATCAGCTTTTGTTGTTTTTGTTCAACTTTCTTTTTCAATATCAGTTGATAAGGTGTATTGTTTAGAAATTAGAATCTTCATATTGTGGTTTTGATATAACAAGTTATCTGCAGCTGAAGAAGCCGTCACATCCTTCCCGTGGCATGCCAACCGCCATCAGCTCCCTATCAACTTTGCTGAAGGAACCCTTGGTGAGATCTTCATTTGTTAAATTAGATGGAGTGAAGCTTCTCATTCCTTTGATATCTCCAGCATCAACTCAGCAATCTATCCAGGTAATCTGAGGTTATTATTCCTTTCTATATTTAGTAATTTGGTGTGTAATCATGTAAGCATAAAATCTTCTATCTATTTATATGAACAGAATGTAAATTTTACTGTCCGGAGCTGGGGAAACACTCAGACTATATTGACATTTTTAATGTGATTAAGTTTGGGATGGTGATGTCTGTGCATACATATATGTGACAAAAGGAACTATAGAGTTTGGGAGGGAGAGAAAAAAAAGATGGAAAAGGATAAACCTTACTGAAATTGACACCAACATAACCTTTAATCTTCTCACCTAGAATTTGTAAACACAGGCATCTCTGGTGTTTTAGAATCTCACCAAATTAAGTATAATGAAGAAATGAGTTTATTTCCTTAAAAAGATCTGTACTAATAGACATTGTAATGTCCATCTCTTCTGGGTAGTCCTATTCATGGTAAACTTGAAGAAAGAATTAAACAACTCCTAATCTAACCACAACCAAAACCTATCTTGACCTTGACCCCCATCTTACAATATTGCTAGTCTTGACTCTAAAAAGATCCTTATTCAAATTTACAATATGCTAAAAAATTGTGATTTAATGGACAGCTAGTGGACTGGGGCCTAGATCCTGGGCCATTGGGGTTCAGCGGTAGGACTGTATTGTATTCAATCCTGGTCCCCTACACCCTCCACTTGAATCTCGTTGGGTGGTTGGGGAGGGGCGCTTCTTCTTTTTCTATATTAATAAAGTCTCCTGATTATTGGTTAATGGTTTAGATTTCTGATAAATAGTAAGGCAGGATATTATCCTTCCTAGCAGATCACATTTTTTCAGCTTGCCACAGCAAATTATCAATGGTTTGGATCTTCATCTTCCTGGCAGACAGAAAATGATCTTGGCAAGTACTTGGGCATCCTGATTCTAAGTCCAAGAAATCTTCTGAAAAGCACTAAACATTGCCCTGTAGCAAGACCTGGTAGGAAAACAGCCAGAACTCTCCCACATCCACACCCTAGAATCCCTAGAGTTAGGGTCAAGGCTGGCAGCATGTAGTCTACCAAGCAAAGTTTTTGGTATCTCTAGCTCTCAATGATTCAAGTTCCTGTGGAATCTAGGGATCCACAACAGCTGATTGTTCAAGTATTCAACAAATTCTCTCACTGAACGGTCCTTGTAGGAAGCAAGACTGTTAAGAGAAGGAAACCTCTCACACAAAGGGTGACCAAAACACCAAATGTCTTTCCAAAATAAAATATGTTCCTCATTCACAAGCTTCAGTCTGATGTGTTTTTGGAATTCAGGCAGCAACCTTATTATCCCTTTCCAAACACAGGTACCATAAGATTATTGGGGTGTCAATGTTGACCAATCCGTGGGAGTCCTACCATATTTACACAAATACACCCAATAATTTGCCACCAAAGATAGAAATAAAAAAAATGCCACCAAAGATGTTTTTTTCTCTCCAAATCTCTACAACCACTTACAAGGAAGAGCATCATCATGATTTTTAAGCATCTTGATCCCAATCCCACCTTTGTCCTTGGCTCACAGATTGTGTCCCAAGTATCCTTGTGAACTTTTTTCTTCATTGAGTCCGTCCCATTGGAAATCCTTGCATGTCTTCTCTAGCACCTGTGCTACCGAACCTGGCAGGGTAAATAATGCTAAATATTAGGTAGGCAGGTTGGAGATCATACTTTGTATAAGTTTGATTTTGTCCCCTTTGATAGGTATCTTATCTTCCAACCAGAAAGCTTGCACTTGAAGTACTCAATGGTAGGATCCCAGATGGCATTAGATTTGTAATTGTCCTCTAATGGGAGGCCATGGTACTTTTTCAGCAAAGACCCCACTCTACACCCCAAAGTTCTAGCTAAGTCTTCAATTTGAGGGAATTTTTTTATGGTAGAAAATAAAATTTCATTAAAAGAAATAAGAGATACATCCTGGCAAGTGATAAGGTATCACCACATACAAGACAAGAGCAGAAAACTACTAATCTAATCATACAGGATTTTCCAGATTACATAATTGAAGCCCCTACACTTCCCCAAGTTTATTCCCAAGATCCAACTTAGTGACTTGTCTAAATTCTGGGAATATCAGCACCCACTCTGAACAGCTTTGCTAGTTGCTGCCACTATCATCTCCATTGTCCAAGATGTCTTCAAAAGTTCTTTTATTCCTTTCCTTCCAGATATTCCAACATATTGCAAAAGTGATATGATACAATTCCAGATTATTTTTGTTTTTCTGCATCCTCGTATCTTTGGCCAGGTTCACCAGGAGGAAAAATTTTCTGTAGGTGATCTTGGATGAAAATCTCTTACCCCAAACATGGCTGTGAACAATTTCCAGATAAAACCAGCAAATTTAAAGGAGAAGAAAATGTTTTCCTCCTGTTCATACAAAGATGGAACATGTTAGCCATATTAAATCCTCTTGATTTCAGGTGGTCCACAGTCAAAATGCTGCCCATTGCCACAAGCCATGCAAAGGCTTCAACCCTATAGGGCACCGGGTTTCCCCAAACACCTCCAACTTGATCTGAACTTGAATGGTCCCCTACAGGAATAAGGTAGTTTTTATGCCAGATTGAATTCCAATTCAGAAGCCACTTCAAAACAAATGAGCAAACAGCAAAGGAACAACAAATCTGCTTGATTTGTCCTTGAAAAAATTAGACTGTTTTCCAGAAACTGAAGTAAAACACATACAGCCCTCTATACCATTGTACTAAGTAATGCCCTCATATTGTAGTATTCTGATGAGGCCAAAATGAAAGTTTTATAGGACAGATATAAAACCAGAACTTTTTTCTGGGTTCCTGTGAGTTGGAGAATAAGTGTATGAGACAGAACCATTCCCATGACTAATGGTCAAGAGTAGTTTCTTCCACCAAAAAGTTGGGTTTGCTCAGTCTACCTAAGATTTTAACCTTTGGAAAGGTGTAATGAAGGATTTTAATGATAATGCTGCTTTGACAAATTTCAAAGTGGAAGATGGTTCTAGAATTAGATTTTGGGAACATAATTGAGTTGTATTAGATATTTTTTATTTGCTTTACCCTTGCCATTATGGGTCTCAACTCAATCTGGAAGTATGATTAGTTGGTTTTATATCCTGTGTGGTTCAATTTTTTGTAACCTGGTTTTTCAAAGACACCTTATAAATGGAGGGATTGATGAAGGTATTCTGCTTATTCAAGAATTGGTGGGTGTTTTTAATTGTCTGGATCAAATAGATAAAATCATGTGGAAAGAAATATCTGGAGCAGCTTTCATGGTTCAGTCCTTTTATGTGGTTCTTGAATCAGAGTGGAGTGGGGTGGTAAACTTTGTATGGGACACTAGAGAGGTTTCTTCCACTCCACATATGGGGTTTGTGTGTGGAATTGGATTTCAAAGCTTCAACCTTAGTTTGATATTTGTTCTAAGTTTGTTGTGGGAGATGGGAGTAGAATCACATTTTAGGAATATGAATGGTGTGGAAATGGTAGGTTGTGTGATGTGTCCAAGGCTGAGCTTGAGGAACATTCCGGTTAATCAATGCTTTGAAGTCAGAAAAGTAATTAAATTATTTGGTTTCCAGTTTTCAGACGTCTTTTGTTTGATAGAAAGTTGAACAAATGCTCTAAATTGTTGGCCAAGGTGGAAGAAGTGAAGGTGGATGTAGGCAAACCTGACATTAGATGATGGATGAATGTAAGGACGGGAAATTTCCTGTTAAATCCTTTTATTTGGCATTAATGATGACCAAATGAGATTAACAGCCTTTCAAGTGTTTGGCCTCCTAGAATGAAGGCATTTTTTTGAATTTTATCATTGGATAGTGTTCTTACAATTGATCATATGAATGTTAGTGATTTTCAGTTTCCAACTAGATGTGTCATGTGCAAACTGCATGAAGAAGATGCTTGCCATTTGCTCTTTGATTTCCAGGTTGTAAAATTTGTATGGTTGTTCTTTTCTTCATTACTTATGATGCTGTTGGTATGCCCACAACAACCACATGAGATTTTCACTAAATGGCCAAGGTAGGAAGGTAGCAAAAAAAGCTTTTTATTTTGAAGTATCATTCTTATGGAGGGGTTGGGAGGATGAAAAGAAGATTCACATTGTAAATTGGGAGCAAGTGTGCCTTCCTAAGGAAGTTGGTGGGTTGGGAATTAGGAAGTTGAAAGAATTTAATTCTGCTCTTCTCAGTAAATGGTTATGGAGATTTGCTTCTGAGAGGAATGCATGGTGGAGAAATCTTATTGCGGCAAAGTATGGAGTGGTATGGGGTGATTGGAGAACTAAGGATCCTCATCCAAATGGGGGAAAATCTCTTTGGGCAGGTATCTCGAAGAACATCCCTCTCTTCCTGAATGGGATCAGATTTAAGGTTGGTAAGGGGGACAGAATCAAGTTTTGGAAGGATCCCTGGTGTTTAGAGGGTTCCTTGGCTGATGCTTTTCCCCGTCTGTTCCAAATTTCAGGTAATCAAGACTCGTCAGTTGCTGATAACATAAGCATCTCTGGTGATTTCACCATTTGGACTCCTCTGTGTAGGAGAAGTTTGTTGGATTGGGAAGTGGAAGAGTATGTGGTGCTGTTGGGGCTCCTTCAAAATCAGAGGATTGATTTGAGTTTAGAGGATGAATGGTCTTGGAAGTGGAATGCATATGGTAGCTTCTCAGTAAATCCCTGTTTCTTAAGTTGTGCAGTTCAGGTCAGGAGAACTTCCCTGCCAAGCAGATTTGGAATCCAACTAGTCCCTCCAAGATCAATTTTCCTGGTCTGGACAATGGCTCTTGATAAATGTTTGACTAAGATTAACCTGGAGAGACGTAGTATTTAGATTCTGGATCTCTCCTGTGTTTTGTGTGGAAATCTTGCAGAAACTACAGAGCACTTGTGTATCCATTGTCTGGTTTCCGCTTCAGTCTGGGGACATTTTCTCAAGGTTTTGGAGATTAGCTGGTCTATGCCAAAACCTGTGAAGGAGCTGCTGATGTGTTGGAAAATTGAGGG